CGCGAAAAGAGGTGTGACGCCATGATGGTCGAGGCCGAAGGTATTTGCCTTGACTACTGCAGGCAGAAAGTCACGCAGGCCCGGGTTTTCTTCTGGCAGAAGGTTGTGACTGCACATGGAAGAGTCTAGGGAGGTTTGTGGATATTCTTGCCGCGAGGGCCCGTTTGTGCGGGCTGAACGTGTGGATCCTCTTTTTTCTGGACCCTGAACATAATCACAAGATATAGAACTCCACCCTGTCACCAAGTCCCCCATCGTCGTCGTCGCCACCACAACGTCAGCGTCCAAGAAGTATGTCTAGCTCTTGACCCTTTAGTAGTCATACGCCCATTTAAATGTGGCCTCCAACATCGATACTGCATCAATTTCAACGTCCACAGAGGGCCCCAAAGAGCCTGTCAAGGACACCATGGCCAAACTGTACGACCTGGCGAAGGCCTCCAACAGAGGGGTCTGGATGAGCGTTGGCTTTTCCTTGCAAGGATCCAAGACAACATATGGCAATTTCCTTAGATAGGGGACCATGATATAAACACCAAATGCTATAGTTTTTATTCTGGGAAGCCCCAGAAAAATTACCTCTATTTTTTGGAACGCCGCATATCTGTCACGAGTTTCACAGCTTGGTCTTCTTGAAGCGCTGGATCCCAGCATCGACCCAATCTTCATGTCCCGCCCAACAGGTCGCAGACGTGGAGGGCAAGAAGAGCCGCCTTTTTGCGGGAGCAGCCGGCACTGAAATGGTGTGGTGGGGAGGGTTAGAATAACGACCTCCCTGAAACATGTTTGTGTATTCGAAGTTGCCTTCTCATACATATCACTATTGTTGTTTATCGATTGTAAAAAGTGCTCAAGGCACTTCAGACAAGTGGAACATCTGCAGCTGCACAAGTACGCGGCATTCTTGAGAGCATGCTACGGATATGATGCGGGTAGGTGTCAACACATTTTTTCCGTGCTCTCTTCCTCCCTAATGTTATTCTAGAAGATGTGTCATTTCTTTGTAACAGAACCTCAGTCAAACGGTAGTGGAGCACTAAGGAGAAGATCAACGAAACGGAGAACCGCGCAGTTCTGCACGTTGCGCTGCGGGCTCCTAAGGAGGATCTAACATCATGCGGGCTTCAGGCCTCACAGCGCGGGTGTACGTAGAGCTTTGAGGTCTAGGGGTCTCTGTAGACTTCGTACCGGATGCAACCAGGGCACCAGCACAGAGTGAGTACGATCTTGCGGCCAGCTTCAACAAGGTTTGTCCGCCCGAGCATGTCAGGCTAGGCATTGGGGTCTCTACCATCCCTGTTTCCATTTCATGTTTTCTTTTCTCATCCACATGATATTGCGTTATACATTTTAAACATTCTCCAGGAGACCATCAATGTGGACGGCAAGAACGTCGTCCCGGAGGTGGGCCCCAGACTTGCACATCACACTGGCCTTATCCCCTCAGACCGAGGTCCTCTTCTTGTGCTCTTATGAAGAATCTATTTGAGGCATGTAGACAGGGAACTGGAGCTTGGAGGAACGACGGTGTGTCAGTGTCAAGTCCTTCACCCCACACGTTCAGCCCAACTCCAGACCTACAGCAATCAAGAGCTTTTGAGCTGCGAGGCGCAGTGACTAGGCTTGCATTGGACGTAGGAATATGGCGTGGGTTGCAGCAAACCTTTCGTACTGTGAAGGCCAGATATGACATGTCGCTTGTTATTTTGGTTCCTGGTTGGTGGGTGACCTGGGTTTACGTTTCGCTCCCCCCAACGCGCCACCCGGCCCCACACAGCGATGCAGCCTGGCAGAGAAAAAATGAAATTGCAACGAGAGTCGGTCGGTTTTGGAAGATTCCAATGTGTTCTCTGCTGGCTATGCGTACTACTCGGAGATTTCCCAACAGCACAAATCTCATTGACTCATGCACCTGCCACCCTTCCATTCAACATCCTCCCGCCGCATCCGTCAACCTTCCATCCAAGCATCCGCCTCCCACGACTGCCTCAGCCTCCCACCAGCTGACCCTTCCCTTTCAGTCTCCCTTCCTCCAATCTTCAGAAACCTAGCTGCTCCAGCCCTTCCCCCCAAACGTGGCTTTGCTCAAGTATCCTCGAGGCGTAGAGAGTTTCTGATGGTGGTGATGGTGGTGGTGGCGGTGGCGGTGGCGGCGGCTTGGGGTGGTGGTTGTGGTGGCGGCGGGGTGGTGGTGGCGGCTGTGTGCTGCTGCTATTGCTCATCTAGACATTATTGTTGGTTTGTCCCTCAACTTTGCTTCGAAAATGGAGGTTCGCGCTCAAGTACCAATTTCCGCAAAGCCCTTAGGTCTGTACCACCTTGAAGCAAACATTTATCAGCTTCAATCAACAGCTGCCTTAACAGAAAACCTCCAAACGCATCAGCAACCACAGCCAGAGCAACAACAAATGCAACAACAACTAAAGCATCCTCAAGCCCAACCACGCGTGGCGTTGTGCGCCCGTCATTAGTTCCAACTACTGTAGCCACAAGCCCGTTTGGTCCTGTGTTCAGGTGCACTCTGTCCTGGATGCGATAAAGGCTGGGCTGAGGGGTCCCAGGGGTCAGGGAAAAAGGATCAGCATTTTACAACGTCATCTCAATGCTTACCTATTCCCGCGATAGAATGTAGGTAAAATGCGGCACCCTACATAAACCCTTAGCCTTCGAGGATGACAATGACATACCCAAAGAGTTCCTGCCCCGCAGCCCAGCATCTCAGAAAGCACAGAGAACTTGGCAATAACCATTATGAATAACCTAAACTGCTTTTGTAAAATCGAAGAGATCGCAGGTTACAAATCTCAGGCAAGTGCTGCAAAACAAGCAAAGCATCTGGGGAGGCCTTTTCCGACAAGGTCCGCTCTGGTGGCTTTGTTGGTTACACTGGAAAGACACTTGGGACTTTCGGAAAAGTAGGTGTTATGGGATCATTGGAATCATCGGGGTTTCGTGAAGCTATCAAGCTATGGGCACATCTTTTATGTGGAGATCGCGTAGCAGTTTCGCCTTGTTCAGAATCACGTTTGTCTTCACATGGAGGCCACCCGTTGCTGTGTTACGTGCTGGTTTGGGCATAGTTGATGCTTGTGGAGTCCACCAAGGACCCTCACAGATGTCCTCTGCATCGGCTGCTTGCCAAAAAAGCTGGGCATAAGCGGACGCACGAGGGAGAACTTGAAAAGTGATGTGGGTCGTCTGGGTTTTCAGCGAATGTGTTGGTATTGAGTGCAAGCCCTGTCAAATTATTCAAATGTCATTAGGCTTGGCCCAGCAGCTCCAGAGGGTGTTGGTTGAGGTCGTTCATGACATGGTTGGCCGTGTGCTATCCTGGGCATGGGGCGCTAGGGCATCCCCTAAGGCTCTGCTAGTGACTGCTAGTGGCATGCCCAGCAAAGAATTCAAAGCTTCTAGACACTGAACGATCATGTGCAATCCAAGGCATTGGCGGCTCTTACCTAGGCGTGGAGTTCGTCTATGAAGCGCTTCGCCGCCCAGCTGCAGACCTGAATGTACCCTTTCTGAGAGAAGTGAACTGGTGAGTTTGTGATGTTCTTACACGGACAGGTTTTTCAGAAGTTGCATTTCGTTTGAGTGGCCTTAGTGTGACGTCATTCTTTCCGAGGGCTTGTGATCAAGCATGGTAACCTTGTACTCAGGTTGCACTTGCTACGACTTCTACAAGTCTACAAGTAGGAAAGCACAATCTCAAATCATGAAGCAGGACCCGCAGTACACGAGCTTCGTTGGAATCCTTTGCAGTTGCCTTTTAGTGTAGTGTAGACATACTGGAATTTTAGACTTTCCCAAAATGCATCCTTACATAGGCCTGAAGAAGGTCGACTTCTTTCTCAGAGCTTCCGGCTTAAGTCTCTACACAAAGCCCACCACAAGCCCTTCTCTTCACATGTCTGAGGGACGGACCCTGCTGCTTCAGCTGCTGCTAAGGGCAGATCGCTCCGGTAGCTTGGACACTGGAGCTATTCTCATAATTGTGCACTGCCTAGAAGTTGAGTACCCAGGTCCCTTTAGTGGCATGCGTGGGTTGGGGTTGAACAGTGTGCTTGAAGATAAGGCATTTGGGGCTTTGGGAGGGACGGTGCCAAAGGACAAGTTTTTTTGGTAGTCCCCGGTACTCGTCCTAATACCAAGCAGCAGCCCGTGAAACGATTGCCAGCTTGCAGGACCAAGGACATATTTTGGGGTTTAGCGGGGACTGTGGAGTTTCACATTTGCTGCAATCAAGGGGTATAGATGTGCGTTTGGGTTTGGCAAGTTTAAGCAGACATTCAGCATAGGTGCGGCCAAATGATCGTACCAGCAGCCTCAACCCTGAGCCCTTGAGCCCTGAGCCCCAAGATCATGGGTTCCCCTATCAAGTACTACCCGCTGAAACTATCCAAGGTTTCCCCTTGGCCTAATTAAGCCTCTGAAAGGAAGCTAGAGAACCCTGAGGTTTCTGGCCAATGTTGACCCCATCGATGTCAAGCGTGCATTGCGCTCAAGTGGCACTGAGTCAGGAGGATAAATGAGCGGTCGTTTCTATAAAAGAGGGCTTCCTGATATAGACCCCTACATACGGGAATCCTTATTATCGGACCCCCACACCAGAAGAGGCAACTTTGTTTTGGAAACCCCTAATCAAATATGGGTCCTTGGCTAGTGAGGAAGCGGCTCAAGGCTGTGCGGCGGCCAGGGCTAGGAAGAAACGAAGCCCGCGCCTGCAATCACGCCTGAAGTTGTTAGGCTGCTATTCTTTTCTCAAAATTCGGGCGCTCTCCAAGATCCCTACAAGTCATTTTCAGGCTAGGTGGCGAGCTCCACAGTTCTCACGCTTTAACATTGTGGCTGAAGTTTGGGAGTGTCCCCGCTGCAACATCCAGCCATCTCCACGGTATAGTGAGAATACTTGTGCCGTTGTCGGGCATTTCACAGTGTAGAGTTGCACGAAGATCTGCTTCGCAGGCCACGTCAGGACACATTTCGGATTAAACTCCTTGATGACGCCCCTAGGCCCCTGGCAGCATAGTTGTGGAAAGTGTCCTCCGAAAGCTGAACTTGTGATTACAAGAGCGTCAGCTTCAGCTACTGGACAGTCTAGTTAGAGCTCACGTCTAATTTGTGTTCCAGGGCAAAGCACTCACCCCCAAACTATGTTGAATAGTCGTACTGTAATAACAGTAAGAACAAATGTAACACCCCCAAAGTGTTTTGAACAAGGACAGGCCTCAACGCTGAGACCACCCTGGTTGTTGTCATCTCCAAGACTTTCACTACGGCATCTGGGTGTTTTCGGAAATTTGGGTGCTCTTTACAGGGGTAAGGAGGGCATAGAGCACAGGGGTTGTATGAGGGGGATATGTGGGTGGGCTTTAGGGTTTCCTGAAAGTAGGGGTCCCAACTAGAGGGATACTAATTCCAATGATGGAGAGTTAGATTGGGAAGAAGATGAGAAATTAAGGGGGAACCGGGATTATACAGCATGTTTTGAAGCTTGGAGTTTCTGGAAATCCCTCGTTTGGGATTTCCGGAAATCCTTATAATGACGATGAGAGCACTTTGGACAAAATTAGGGTCCCCTGCTTTGGAAACCCGAATCTTAGGTGTGACGTGATGTAGGCAAAGGCAATACTTGGCTCCTTCGGGGATCGGAGAAACAAGTTCAGCCAGCAGCCACCAAGCCCGCATGGCGCAACTAGAACAAAATGCCATGCGACAGCCTTTACGATTTTTCATGTGGGATTCTCTGAAAACAGCCCGCACATGCTCCTCAATGGTTGTATGCCGCCCTTATCATCAGCAAGAACAACATTGACCTCATCAGCCGCATCATCATCATCATCATCATCATCATCATCATCATCATTTTCCGAGAAACCCCAGGCCAGACTTTGTGAATGCTAAAGGCTCTAGAGCTGAAATTCATAGTGTTTGTGACACAACTGGAAGCCAATCCTGCGTCCCGCACTGTACCCTTTTTCACCCAGCAGCAGGAGCGTGCGTCGAGTGCAAGTGAATCTTTCAGATCAGTTGGAGGTGCAGTAGTCAAACCTCTCCTGCGTGAGAGGGGTTCACAAGGTGTGTCCCCTATCTGCAATATCTTCACTATGGAACGGGTGGTATGCCCTTAGCCATGAGCCCTTGACCCACGCATTATAAGTGGCAAGCAGTCAAGGCAGAGACTATGCTGAACGCGCGCACCGTCAAAGACTGGCTACTGAAGGAGATGGATAAGCTTGATGTCCAGTTTAGGGCTTGGGTATTGAGGTTGTGGCAAGTCCCCTTTAATGTCACCTACAAAGCTGCTCCGCACAAGCATAGAAGCCCTGCCTCTTATTCACATCCCGCAGCCACCTTGGGTTGGGTCTGAGGAGCTGAAGAGCGAAGAGGCCATCGCAAAGCATGTCCCTTGAAAGATGTGATGGTTGGCAGCGCTGGGCACATTCCTCTCAAAGTCCGTGTGACAAGGGTCATCGTATCATATTTTGACGGGCCCGCAGTTTTCAAGAACACCCCAAAACAGTGTCCACGGTTAAAGGTTTGTCCAGAATTTAAAGGTCTAGGAGTTGAGGTTGACTTGGTCGGGGCTAGGGTTACCGTTGACATGGAGGTGCCTTGTATCGGTGCCCTGGCCGGGGTGGGTTGCTTGAGTTCAGGCTCAAGGAGGTACTCAAGTCTCCTTGACAGTACGAGTTGATATTGCTGTTGAGAGCTCAGACCAAGATCCCGACGAAGCAATTCGAGGGGAGTCAGGGGACGGAGGGGTTTGAGCTTCAAGAATGAATGGGAGTTGTATGTGAGATCATTAGACATGAGCTTCCTCGGTTTAATGTTGAGCTTCAGCATGTTCCTTATGATCAGAATACGACACTTCCAATATTTGTTCTACACCGTTGGGTGAAGTCTCGCGCTCTGAAAGCCCAAATCATAATCCGGAAAGCCACAAACCCTAGACCTTGGGGCTAGCCTGTGAGCCACGCTGTCGTTTGCGGCACAACAGCACGAAAAAGAAGGGACTTTCATACATGGATCGCAAGGTCCAAGGAGGTTGAGAGGACTCGTGCGTGCCGTGATGCAAACCAATCACCTCGTGCACACCGGCCCCACCTCGGATGAGGAATGGAGTCGCTCAATTTTCGAAGAGGCCCCCAGATCATATGCGCCTTCGGATGAAACCACAAGCAGTCATTGATAATGCCAAGCCTTTGGCAACGAGGCTCTGCTTTTTGTATCCTTCCGTAGCTCCCATGTCATCTTCCATTTTCCTTTCCATTTAATTCTCCGTAATTGAGCTAAGGTTGCTAAGTACATATATAATTAATAATTAGTCCCTACAGGCCCTAGCCCTTATACAGCCAACATCATTGAGACGTTCATGCAGGCGGTCAAGCTCCAACCTTGCCTGCCCAAAAAGATTTGTCCTTTTCTTGGGCTCCTTTCGAAGAAGGCTTACAATATTTGGGGGCAATAGTTGGGTCCATCTATTTATGAAAATTATCCTATTGCAGACTGACCATCTAGGAGGCGTGAACAAGCCATGACTGCCGCATTGTATGTCCAGTAACCTCATTGAAGGCCTCCAGCATGGGAAATCTGGTTGGAGGATCTTTAAGGTGCTCTACGAATTTCGATACTGCTCCGTTGTCGTGCATGAGCTGCCCATGAGGGTACCAGGGTGGCTCCTAAGGATACAGATTTTCAAGGGTTATGCTCACTCTGCGGGCTCATGTGTAGAAGCTCACGCATGCGGCACGAACGGTAGACAAACCACAAGCCCAGGTTATCGCGTGTTCCACCGCCTTAGCCATCGCCTTAGGAAATGGTCCTTGTGATTCAGGTTACATGCATTTTGTCTTTAGCTGCAGGATTGTCTTGCAGAATTCACCCTCAAACCTTACCGTAAACCCTGACTGCTTCAGGATGAGGAGAAGGATGACTTTAAACTGCTGCCTGCCATTCACACTCTATGCTACTTGCACCCAACCCAGTCAGTCCCTGATCCCCCTCTCGTATTCGCTGCTGCAATCCTTTTCTTGCTTCTTATGCTGGCGCAGCTATCTCATCACGGACATACCATCATTCGGACTTACGGTTTTTGTTATTGTTCTTGTCTTCCACATCACATCGCCAAGGACAAGACCAAGGCCTTTGGCATTGATTCGGCCAATGTCTTCGGCTTTTGGGATTGGGTGGGTGCCCCGACCACAATGAGATCTGAAAAAGGGAACTACTCCCTTGATCCGGGGTACTTTACACATTCAGGGTCCTGTAGTCATCCCAAACTGTATGACAGTTGCGATTATATTGAGCCCCGGTTTCAAGTCGGCCTTGTAAAGCTCTATTCAGTTGGGGCCTTTGAGCTTTGATTATGGAAGAGTTCCTAGTTCGCAATGATGGATGGGAACACGCTGGGGTACTAGGCTGATAGAGCAAGCCGTGCGTGGAACCCTGCAGCGTAATCGGGGCGAGGCCTCTACTATGAAAGATCCGCGCACACATGGACATGTATACCTGTACTTGTATGTATATAGATACACACTTCCAAGCCTGTTTGACACTGTTTGCATTACTGCTACCAGGTGGCCGCTTCTCAGTGTGCAGTGCTGTGGGCGTTGTCCCGCTCTCGCTGCAGTTTCTCGGGCTGGATACACAAGTCACAAAAAAAAAACAGGGTGAAGGGTAGCTTCAGATGAGCTCGAGTGGATCCCTTGAAACATGATATACATGCTTAGGTTATCTTGGATATGTTTTTGCGTGGTGACGTTGTTTGGATTTTTGTGGTGGTCTGGGAGGTCTAGAGGTACACGTAACAAGAAAGTGGAGAAGTCGTTTTCACTGAACAAGTAGCCGTTGAAATAGCGGCAAGAGTGATCCTAACACGAGGATGAACGTCATGAAGATTTCAATTTGTGGGAGATTGGGGGCAGAAAAGTAAAACAGGTTCCTCTTTAAGGGTCTCGGTTCTAACGGCGCTCGCTTTAATTATGAGAAGATCGTCCGGATTCTGCTAGGGCCTCAACAACCGAAAGACATTAAAGAGAGCCTCTTCTTCAAACAGTCCGCGTCCAAACCCTGCTCTTGCACTCGTATAGTTGAAGCTCACTAGCAACCTACCAGAGCTCACATTTTACTGGGTGCTAGTGGGCATAAGTGGCATAAGGGAACATATTAGATAGGGGTTGTCTAGGGATTCTATTTCCTTATTCCCTACTAACCCCCAGTAAGACATACATTCGTCTCTGCAAAGCACCGTGCTGATTTCATCTGCATGCCGGCATTTGGCAAGCAAGCAGTACCCACCATGCAGCTTCGACATGCGTGCTGCTACTAATCATCAACATTTATGAGCCATCTAGCGCACCACTGCCAGGAACTACACTACATACAGTATGAGCGCTTACAAGAAGAATGCTGTCACCCTGATCCTTGACGCTTTGAGTGTGGTTGTGCACACAGCCATTTCAACACGTGAGATTCGTGTTTGCAGAGATTGCTCATAGACAGGAGTCCTCAAATAGCTTTACAGGTATGGCTTCGACGTTGTCCAGAAGTTCCTGTCCGGCGCGCGGGCGATGGACCTCCACTTTCGAGACGCGCCTCTCGAGAAGATCTGCAGCCGCAACAGTGTTTGGGGCTTCCTTAAGTAGATAGAATATAGGGGTCATATAGGGATAATGGAAAAGAAAATGGAAGCTACTATTTAGGGTTTAGGGTTTAAGCTTTGCTGTCATAGTGGTAACTTGAGTAACGCATAGACTGTCGTAGTCATGGTCGTCTTGCTGGCAAAATATGAGTGCAGCCTACGTGAAAAGATGTCAGTGCAACTAGTACTTGTATCAAGCCCGATTTTTCAAAACAAGAATGGGAAAGAGGCTTCACTTGTAATACTGGCCGTAGAAGCAGCACTGTCGATGCTCCTGTTGTTGCTACGACTGCCAGCGCTGCTTATAGTGGTTCGTTCAAGCAGCAACTGAAACAGCAATCGCATAAACAGTGTTGTTATTAGCACTTGCAGTTGATAGAATCATCATGAAGGTGAGTGCTGGAGGAGGCATCAGCACGGTCCTCAAACCTTGGGTAAGGTTATACGAGATGAAGGCAAGCCCTGCAAAATCGGACTCCATGTCTTCCCCACCATGGGTCTTCAATTGACATTTCTTCATAGAGATAAAAAGCTGAGCTTCCAGGAACTTGCCTTCGATTTTGGGCCTCCTCTCTGTCTGGAACGCATCATGCCTTGGCTATGAGGCACCCAGCAATAAACACTGTTGTTTTCTGGGCTCAGGGCTACGACTGTCACCACCCACAGGTTGAGACCAGAGCAGTTGAGTGTGGATAGCCGCGCGGGCCGCGGTGTAAGGTGGGACTAGCGGTTTCGCACTTTGAGGCTTGGGGCTTGAATGCAAAATCGTTGCAGCAAAAAGCTTGCAGGGGTCTCAGAGGTTCACAGGAAGCTTTGGCACTTCGGAACCCAAACCTCAATCCCTACACCCTGCCCAATGCTCCGCAAGCTCTGAACCCTACAAAAAGCAAACCTCTAAACCAACAGTAGGGACCTACTGTATTAATTTGACTTTGCCTGGTGCAACTACAAGTATGAGCAGGTTTTCTCCGGATCCCCATGTGCCATTTTTGCCGGGCTCATTCGTCTAGAGACACATGCCCATGTATCGTCAAGGTTTTGTACTTGAGTGTGTATATATATATATGTATATACATATATAATATATGTTTAGATACATACATATATGTGAGCCGGCCTAGGTAAATCTCAAAACTTTCATTGGCTAGGGTTGCGCGGTGCTACCGTACTGCCAAGCCTTAGTGTGCCTCGGCCAAGGTTTATGAACCTCCTGGGATTGAACGGCTATGCCTGCAAATCTCATTATTCTGGTTCAGAGATTCAATTTGTTCTGTGTTCAAGACGTAAGTGTTTGGTGGATGCATAGTGATGATACGGGAATTGTCGTCAGACTGCTCTTGGACTCAGGTGGCAGCTCCATGTTTTGTAGCTTGAGACGGGTAGTCAGCTTCAGGGGGGTTGTCACAGGGCATTTAGAGTCTCCTTAAGAAGTCTACGTATGTGTTCGGAACCCCATGTCTCAGCACTCCATCTTAGTAGTGACTCTGGTGCTTGTTTGATGGCGTAGATTTGTAAACTCCAATTGCATACATGTGCCCGACTTCGAATTCTGGTGTGTTGATGCACTCAACCCATGATTGCGGAAGAATTCGATGTAAACGTTCCGAAATAACGTCGCGCGCAGGTCCAAGGAGTGCTGCTTCATACACACGCCAACTGTTATCTTTCAATTGAACAGACGACAGACCAGAACCTTAGTCTCGTCGGTCCTACGACGGTAAACTGGACCCAAACACCTACCCATGAACATTCACATTTCAAGAGCAGCATCAGACTGAAAAGGAACCGGGGACACTGCATGGGGTGGTCCCTACCCACTGAAGCCCCAACCCTGGCTGAGGCGCTTCGTGGCTCACATCCAGCAGCTGGATATGGAGAGCAACGGTACCTTGATTTGGGTCTTGGGGACAGGCTACCTCCACATGATATGGCGTCCCAAAGCAATACCAGCAAATATGTACTCTCGGGATGAGGGTAGCAACGTTGTCCCAATTAGAGCGGGAAGCATGTGAATTTTTTTGGGCTGCTGCAAGCTGTCTTTTGTGGGAGGCTTTGTATTTGGAAGAAGCGTGTGAGGGTTGTTGGCCGTCAGGGTGTTTGAGTTTTGTATGCTGCCAAGTTCGGATTGACATTGAACATCGAAGAATGCTTGGGCATGATCTTGAACACTGGATGTTGTGTTGCAGCATAATTAAAACTCAGCTGAAGGGTTTTCCGCAGCTCCGGCATGACACTACGTGCCATTGCATCTGTAATCTTGCAATGACATACCGAGACGAATGAGACATAGTGGGGCTTTTCTCAACAGGCAAGCGTGTGCAGATGGACGGCACGGATTGCACGGCTGTTTGGCAGCACTTCAGTGGGACTCTGGATCTAGATGGGCCTGTTTCCAAATGGAGGTCTTTTCAGAAGGATCTCAGTGTTTGGCAAGCGCCTTATGTTTTGGCGCCCATCTTGTTCTTTTGAATGCTGGCGCATTACGTGGCTCGACCGTGCATAGCGAGTGAGGTTTGCGGGAGCGCCGAGGGTTGCAGGCTTTGGGTTTAGAGCTTTCAGACAATGAGCTTGAGACGTGGTGCAAAGATTCTGGCATTTTTAGTCTTCCGGGTCTAGTCCAGCACCTCCTCAATGCCGGTTGGGGCTTTGTAGCGCGCTGACTGACCTCATCTCTCAATATGCCGATATGCCTATGCAGCTGGCGTCCCTTTGAAATAGCTAGGTGCACTAGCAGTGAAGGGCATGTAAAGAGTTCGAAGATGTCGAGGAAGCCTGACTCTCCTTGGATTACAAGGCAACCAAAGTACATACCCACCCAAGGAATGTTTCTTTCCTGAGCTTCAATGCCTTGCAGTTACGTACATGGGCAAGGGAATTGGACTGAATCCTTGCAAGGTATGTGGAATGCCTGTACAAATTTTCGCCCGCAGCCCGCAGCCCAGGTACCGACGGGTGCCATCTACTTCGGTGAGCCCGGTACTAACGGCCAGCACTCCTTCTACCAGCTCATGCATCAAGGCCTTGTGTTTATGCTAGAAGAGACTTTGTCAATCTACAGGTCCTTTCAGAGGGATGCGAGAAGAGAAGACGGCCAACAACTTCAAATTCGCAGCAGCGGGATGTTTGGAAATTTGTCCCACTTGGCAGGAGGACTGACACCTCCCAACCCCTCCAGATAACAACAAAGGCAGTCAGTTCGAATCTCCAATCCGTACTTTAAAGAAGCTCCCTTCCGCCTCAAGACCAATTCCTAGTCACCGGGCTGTAAGTGCTGTAGGCCGCGTCATTCCTGCCGACTTTATTGGATTCAAGGTGTCTCAGAACCCCATCAGCAGCTTGGCCGATCTTTGCTGGGGCAGCTCACTGAGGCTCCCCCTGTTGATGAGCGGCTGCGCTAGCCCCTCCCCCACATGAACGGTCATAGAGACATGGTTGTAACGTTGAACAGTAAATGTTTGATGCCACAGGGTATATGTATACTTCCGCTCTCTTTTACTTTAGCTTTATTCTCCTCGCAAGTGTCCTGGAAATGGCAAGCCGGCCGCTGTGCTGCCAAGACGGAAACCTTGGCAGTTTCCACAAATAGGGGACCCCAACAATGGAAAATACATGGAGACATGATTCCAAGCGAACACCGAAAGAAACCTTTGCACGCAAAAGCTAAGAGAAATTTCCCCTCTCTCTCTTGTCAAAGAAGCAAATTTCTATGGGGTCGCCTACAAGGTGCATCAGCCATCTTGTGTGAGTTCTTCTCGTCCATAACTGGCAATAGGCCTTCCCAGCATCAAGGTTGCTGCTTGCAGTGGGAAGGTTGATGTTTTGCCTGTAGCGAACATCCGACCAAGGCTTGGATGGAGAGCCGGTATCTAATCATGACGAGCTGATGTCCAACTTCTTTGCGCAGCCGGATGCACTTGCGCTGGGAAAGACCGCTGAGGAGCTCAAGGCAAAACGTGCAGATGCGTTGGCGGCTCCAGTAGAGTCTTCCACCTATCTTTACTGGGGGATCTGCGCTTTTCAAAGTCAACTGTTGGAATCCTGCTGCCGCGCGTATTAGTTAAAGTAGCCACAGCTGCCAACCGCAAGTTCAATCTTTCACTTTCATGGACATAGCTTGAAGCTGAAGACTCTGCTGCGTCTTGAGGGCAGGGTTTATCAGCCTCCAACATCTACATTCTGAAGCACTGCAAGAGGCGGTCAGCCAGCATGTTGCTATCAGTACAGTAATTGAAGCTGTCATGGTTCAAACAGGGAGCAGAGTACAGGTGGCCACAACTATGAAGCACCTGGTAACTTGCATTTCATCCCAGTCCCTGATCTCTAAACTCTAACTCTAACAGCCATGAACATGATTTGATCGTTCCCTTTATAGGGGGAGCCCAATGTAGAGCCCAATATGCTCTAGTCCTTATTATGAGGACACCCAAAAAAAGGCACCACTAATTTTGGGAAACCCTCCATTTTGTGGGTGTGTCTGACAAGCACTCATCCCACCAAGTTGAATCCTTAAGATGTGCCCCTTCTCATCCAGACGTTGCCCTAGGATCTCTAGAAGTACCCCAGCTTTATAAAGCAGCTAACTCTATGCCCTAAACTCCTAGAGCTGTAACCCTAAAGAAAATGAGGCTTTACAGATCCAAAGGCAAACCCACGTTCACCTCCCCAGCGCCTGACACTGCAATTCCGTAAATCGGGAATTGCAGTCCCGCATCTGTGTTCCTACAGCAAAGCGGGTCCCTGTCCCATTCTCAGGCAGATCCCCGGGATTTTTTCAAATCAGCCTCTGCAGAAAGCCGACTGAAACGCAACCCTCAGAAGCCGCAGAGACCCAGTGGTCCTTGTTGAGGGCCCCCTATCTTTGATAGCCCCCTTGCATGCTCCAGGCTGATGGGGTCCCAGAGAAGCTGATTCCGCCTCTTGTCAATGATGATTCAGGCAGTTACTCTGGCGTCTCCATGTGGGGTCAACCTGCTGGATTCCGTACGGTATGGTACTCTGAGAAGGTGTAGAGGGATAGTTTTCAGACATATCCAATGCGGAGTGTGGGTTTTGTGTAGGTTGAAGGGCTTCCCATGGCTACAATCTGCGAACCTTGGGACAGCAGACGCTCCAACCTGAAGGGTTCCAGAAGCAGCTGAACCCTAAACCCAGACGGTCTTCCCCGTTAGAGGGCGTTTGGATCATTGCTGGGTTGGTGGCGCTTGATAGACTTCAAAGCTTGTCAATATGGGACGTTGCATTGTTCAAATATTTTGCTGGGCTTTTGAGCCGAGAAGGTAGCAAATTTGCAGGCTGCGAGTTGTGTAGCCTTACTTGGTTCGGGACAAGGTTGTTGGCAAGTGTGGTCAGGGCCAGTGGCAGCTTTCGCAAATGGGCCTCTTGCTTCCAACTGGACTCGGCCTGAGAATCCCCAACAAGTCTACTAATTAACAAGGATGCCAAAGCAACTTTCACTAGCGGCATGCCGTCCCACAAGCTTCTAGCAGAAGATCTCCTTGACCTCGGAGCCTTGCAACCCAATCGGTGAAGCTATTCCTCGTTTCAAGACGGCGCGCTACTATAGAAACTGCCACATCTGAGGCACAAAGTCTTCACAGGAGATCGACCCTCGAACTCTTTGCTGCTGCCGATGTGCGATCCGTTCCTCAATGGGATTACAAAATTGGTGTTCCGGTTTTGGCCTTGCAGTGATCTAACGTAATGTCTGAATTTGTCGTCGTTTTGGCCCCGGTACTGGAAAGGCCTGTGCACCTTCAGCGGCCTTGTTTGAGTGAATAGCTTTGGGGCATTGCTATGAAGCAGTCGAGGTGTCCGTACAGATGAGTCTCAAGTTGTAGCGGAGAAGATCTTGTCCAAGCCAACCTAAACGTCTGGAAGATAATCTCTAAGACCGCAAGATGCTGCAGGCCGTACGTACAACTTTCTTCGAAGAGATGGTAAAGTATATTAAGTTTAGCTAGTTTAAGCGGGCAGGCCTGAGAATGTTAAGGCCGAGCCCCCCATGCGACTTCCCTTCTTCTGTTTGTTTTGGTGGCCCCCTCACTTACAGTATCCAACATAACAAGACGTGGTGGAGGTCATCCGCAAATTGGGGTTGAATGGCTTTAGGATGTAGTTGTTAAAAGGCAGTTTCTATGTCAGGGTCATTTCCCTGCTCATATACCTTGGGGATTGCGCTGTAGAACTGAAGGATCTGGCAGGAGGCCATGGGCTGCGCTTGTATCCACCTTGTCAGTGAGCTCTAGTTAAGGTTTACGCCATAGCTAGCGGGGACAATAGCAGCCCTTCCATTCGTAACACCATTTTCCCCCAAAGTTGCTACATAACGTTCAGCCTCAATAGGGGGTCCTATACTGCCCCTGAAGGGCGCACATTTTGAGAAACACGCGTGCGGGTATGTACATTTTGGCTCTTGCATCTGACTCCCACCGCGTGCCAAAGTTCTATAAAGAAAAGAAAACGTACGCACTGAAGCCATATACACCCCCCCCCCCCCACANNCCCCCCCCCCCCCCCCACATTCACCAAACTTACAAAGAACCAACATCCCAGACCCTAACCCACATCTCAAGTTCCAGCAGCGGAGGTATAACTTAGGGTTGCTGCTGGCCTTGTACGAGCATCGCACCGCTGTGCAGGGTTGGGCTGGGGGCCTCAGGGGACGGTGTGGAATTTTGGGCTTTAGCGGGCCAAGGAAGGCCCGTAAAGAATGCTTATCCTTAACTTGGAGGGCGAAAATTATCTTGAGGTCAGGTGGCTTTATGCATGAGGGCAGATGAGCTCGGAGATCTCAGGATTCAATTCTCTTGTGCATAGAAGGCCCAACTGCCATGATTGTATCATGACGGATTGCATCTGGGCTGAATTTTGGAGGGTAGCCCCAATGGAACCTACAGGAGAGGCTCCTCTCAGAGATTGTGTCACGATCTGACGGAAATACAAATTTACCCTGAAGCTCCTCGTGCTGAAGGCTGAGTGTGTCCCTATGAAAACCCCTACATCAGTGCTACATTCAGCGCCAAGAACCTAAACTCTAAGCCTCCAAGTATGGTGAAGGTCTGGAACGTCAACTCCTTTGACCAGTGGGGCGTCGAGCTGGGTAAGGTGCTGGGCGTGAAAGTTCGCATCTAGGCAGCAGTGGAATTTTGGGAGGTCCCCACATTATGATGACCTTAGAGACCCCACAGGAACATTTAGCCGTTTCCACCCCCTCCCCCTCTTGTGGTGTGGTGTCGTTGGGCATGCGGATACTTGGAAGAAATATAATATGTGAGGACTGGTGTGAACACTCCCAGAAAATCCTACAAGGGAATTATTAGAAGGGACTTATATAGAGACTGGAAAGACATTCATAGTTTTTTTTTGCAGCCGTTCGCTTGCCAGCCTGACGAGCCATGGGGGTTGCCGAACGCACAGCGCACGACCGTACAATTATGGGGATTATAAAATTATGGGGATTATGGGGATTATGGGGATCATCATTTTTGGGGACTTTAGGGGTGATGTTTTCGAGAGATTCCTATAAGTTCCCTCACCTGATAGGGCCGCGGTCAACTAATTGCACTACTTACTAGTTGTCTGGACATACTGTGAAGTTGATGTTTGGGTTTGAGAGAACTCAAACGGCAGATCATGGTGTCTCGCTATTGCCAACGCTTCTACTACAACTATTGCTGGCATTCTTCTGCCTACTTCTGTTTTTGAGGCAAATACCTCTCCGAAGCGAGGAAAGGCCTGTTGCTGCTAGCTGGATTACAGGGGTTGAAGTCAGCAAATCCTCGTATTAATTGTTGTTGTATAGATGCTAGCTGGATTTGTGATGGGCGCTCTCAGCGGCGGTCGGATAAGGATAAATGAGCCTTGCAGCCTTAAGATACCTTAAGGGCGTGTGTAGTGGATTGCGTCACATGCACTTCTGGAACCATCCACTTCAAGAGCCCCTGCCATGAGCGCCTCAAGATTTTTGAGGGCTGCTGAGTTCGATTGAGTTTGTTTTTTGCGAGTGGTATCTGCCAGCAGGATGGGCCGCTTTGGGGTGTTTGTAGAACAGATCTTGGTTGTTCGTGGATCTCGAAGCAACCAATTGTACAGGAGCCAAACGAAAGCAGCCCATGTTTCAGGTGGACCGCAAGGGTCCGCCCGCCAAAATGGAAGTGCTAGGAAGCTAGGTTTTCTTGCAATTCCTGCTTTGGAGGATTCCTTCCCAGCAGCATCTTGACCATTTGAGCTGCCCACCTGGATGCTCCCTGCTTGGGCCAGGTGGTGGTGACGCCTCAGGATTCCAGAAGCCCACGCAGAAGCTTGACAGAAAGGCGGGTGCAACTAAGCGTCTCAGACTTCGGAGTCTGTTTCGCTTGATGCGTCGGCTCTCTATACATGTCATACAGTCATGCATGCTTCTTTGGAGTCTGCAGGGTTTAGGGATCGGCTAGAACACTCAATATGGCTCTGCGTCACGTAGAGCGCAAGGTCTCCTGGAGTTCTGTAGGTCTCCGTGGCTCTGACGATCTTTGTTACATCTTTGCTGGTCAATAGGTACAGCCTAGTTCCTTTGCTATTTGCTCGACAATCTTCCGAGCGTTCCTGAAGCACCACCACCGCAACCGCCACCGCCACTGCCACCACAGTAGCCGCCGTCACGTCAGAGGCCACCTCCAGCACCTCTAACACCGCTCAGCACCATCAGCACCAGCACCAGAATTTTCATTGGACTTGAAATTTGAAAAAGCTGTCAAGGCTCCGCCCCACATCTCCGTCATATTAACCCACCACGCAGCGGAAAAAGCCGGCACACCGTGAGCCTTACACCCCAGAAGCAAGTAAACCCTAAGAGCTGCCCGCAGCTCGTCAACCCTAAACAAAGCGGGGGATGAATCCATTGATACGCTCGAATCCAGAAGACGCTCTAGACAACATGCACGCACACACACACACACACACACCTCTGATCCAGCAAGCAAGAACTAGCAAATCCGGATCTTGAGGAAGCTTTTGTCAGCGATGCTGACGGCCCCCGTTTCTGGTGATGACAGGACTGGGAAGGGATCGAAGCCGCACAAGGTCGACGGGCGAAGGATTCAGGCTATGTGAACAGTTTAGATTTGATAGTCAGAGTCTGAGTTTGGTGTAATTTCTCTTGACACGCTGGTTGAAATTGACGTTTGTGTCAGATGTGCCAGCTTTTTACCAGTGACCACCGCCGCCGCCCCCGCCACCGCCGCCGCCACCACCACCACAGAGACAGCAATCACGGCTACAAGGGTCTTCGGTCAGTGCTCACCATCAACAGACCCAATATTGTGCACGGATTTCTGCGAGTCCATTTGCTCGCTGAACCTGCCGAGAGCTGCCAAGTTCCTGTGCCCACAGGCTCCAGCATGTAGAAACTACGTGTGTGTGCTTCGCAAGTACTGTTATTAATTGACCGATACAGAAATTTATCTCAGAACCGTTAGTTCGGTGTGCAAGCCAGTCAACATGGGTGGAAGTTGTAACAGTAGCAAGGTGGTCACTTACCACTGCCGTGGTTCCCTTGGAAATGTGTCAGGTCACTGCCCTGCAAGGGGTCTGCGAAAGATCCGGGTTCAATGCCACCTTTCAATCAAGGTGGCGTGCAAGGCCCACCAAAAGCTCGCCCCCTTGATTTAACGAGGGCTGTGGGATCTTAGGTGAATTCCTTGTACTTAGCTTAGTTCTTTCATCCGAAGTCCGTATAGTATGATTCTTGCCCAACACATACATTACATGTTAAGCCCGAAGCTCTTCTGTGCTCCCCACCGTGTTCCGCCTGACCTGCAGGATCGTTGTCATCCGAGCTCGTGAAATCTACGATTCGCGAGGGAACCCAACTGTGGAGGCCGGCTTCTGGCAGAACCCTATTCATTCTTATGTAGACCGTAGACCCTTCATGGTAACATACTTCAAGCTCCTTCACAGCAACCCAGCTATACTCTAATGCGTCAACCTGAATGAAAATTCGAAGCCAGCTCGACTTGCAGCTGTCTCCCACCTTTGCTGATATGCAGTAGCAGGGACCCACTTCCATGACCTTCGCGAGATGCCGGAATCGGTTCGCAAGTTCCATACTCACAACATAGATGCGCACAAATAAGCCATCACACCATGAGGCCACCAGTATCAAGCCAGGACAAAATCAATTTCCAGGGATGGCAGGGGTCCCCGTACACTTCCGCAACCTTGGCTTCAATGACGTCCTTATCCTCTTCACCCTAACAACCCCATACCTGCAGGTGGACCTTTGCACCGAGACTTCTCTGTTCCGCGCAGCTGCCCCTTGACTCTTGCAACCTTAGACATGTTTTCTTAAAGCTTTCGGGCAGGGAATCCTTACTCCTCTGAGATTAGCTAGGGACCCGAGTATTGAGAGGAACGCGTGTCTTAAGAATCAGCCGCTATCATTCCTCTGAGTCTGAGGTTCCCCTGACAAACTTCGCATATTGGTCGTTGTAAGCCCTCTCTATATCTCAACTCCGCAGGTGGTTTGTGACTGTCTTACATCTTCAACAGCATGACATGGTTGTGTCCCAAGCAAACCAGTCC